TGTGAGAAGTGGCGGTTTCGCAAGGTGCATGCAGAGGAGCAAGAGCAGCAGGAGGAAGAGGAGCAGGTGACGGGTCACGTCGGAGGTCAGGCTCGCCTGCTCACTCACTTACGGGCGACTGTAGCTCAACACAATCCCATGCTTTTCAGGTTCTTAGCGATGATCATGTCTAAACAGGCGTCCAGCACGAACTGTACGTTGTTCGTGTCGGTCGCACACGTATGGTGACAATAGATCTCCCGCTGATTGTTTCGATTCACCTGTTCGAACTTCCACTGGATGTAATTGACGCACTCGCTGTAGTTCTGCTGCCCTAAAAGTAATCACCGAGGTAGTAATGCAACTGATCACTGCCGGCGATTCTCTGACCTTTGTATTCAGGGAAGCAGAGGGTTAGCGGCGACCGGCGTACCTTCTCCGAAAACAAATCCTTTTTGTTCAGGAAAAGAATGAAATGAATTTCGGTGAACCACGGACTGTTGCAGATCGAATCGAACAACTTCAGCGACTCCTGCATCCTATTCTGAAATGGAAATGACCTCACATGTTGGTCGTCGTCAGTAGCCTCGATTTACAATACACAGCACGTGTCTACTGAGTCTATTACATAGGTACTGAATAATACACCGAATATTCAGCCACCAGATAGTCCAAGGTGAATTGCAGTTCTACGAGGTCGTCCTGTCGTACAGCATGGTCATGTCTTTTGCCCACTTGGTACGATCACTTCAGTACACCATGCTGGCCCTATTGTTCGCGGGACCAAGACTACCCTTTGAGTGACTAAAGCAGCCAAGACTGATTCGTTGCCCAAGGGAGTAATGAGTTAAAATAAATGTTTTAGAGTTTGAAGGTGGAACATCTGGAGTTAGAAGCGAACCACTTACATTGTGCCCTTTTCCATTGTTTGGCGATAGGGACAGTAAAAATCTATTTCGAAACTGGTTGGAAATACGCTCTTTGTCAGTCGTCGCAACAGAACATAGGAACAGCGCTTTAAGAATGATCTTCTTAATATTTCAGAATTATTATGTCACACTGCACAGTCGTAATCCGTGGTACAAAGCCAAAGGAAGATGAATAATGCTGGATAAATGACATCTTGAGTACAGACTTTCTCAGATCACATAAGTTTTGAAGTCAGCGAAATTGCATTTCTGGAACGGACAATGAAAAAAGCTTTATTATGCTAATCCCCCAGCGCTGTTCCCAACTGGCTGTTCCAGTTGAGAACGAAAAGAGTTCAAGACTGTAGCGATGTCTCAGCAAAAGCGCAGCTACTTTTGCGGTGATGGTATACCAGAATAACTTGGCCATACCAAATCGGCTTTCTTTCTGTTCAAGAGGCATCTCACATGGCGTTTAGTGACTAAGGTAGCTTAGGGTATCATACAGTAAATCAACTATCAAAATCTGCTTCACAACTGTGGTGTCTGGGAAACGACAGATTGGAGATAGATGCGCAAAATGAACCTACCAAGGGCATCGTGTTCAGCACCAGCAGCAGCTGAGTCGCTAATCGTTCTGAAGTGAACGGAAGGACAACGCAATGCTAGTGCTGCAGGTCAAATGAGTTCCCAGGGGTACAACACAGACTCTGGAACTTGGAAATTAAAATTTGCTGCGTCTTTTCACTCAGGGAAAAGAGGGTCAAAGTAGATGAGG